GTTGAGGCAGCCGTTGTAACTATACTGAGACCATAGAACTTATATATCAAGGTGAGTGGCGCATTTACATTGTAGATGTCTATGGACTCCAGAAACCACTTAACAACAGGTGGGCTGTGAGCTCGTCCACCCATCTAAAACATAAAAATAAAATTAAAAAATAGTCTACTAAATGTAGCCGTCTATCCGTAAGAAAGCACCTATATGATTACGACTCTCAAAAATATTTTACGAAGAGACGAATAGTTTTTTGGGCGAGATTATTGCTTGCTTCCATTTTGCACAAACTCGTCCCCAACGGCACGACCGACGCATCCCGCATCAAGTGGCCCGGAAACCGATAACGGGACAATTTATGTCACACCTACTGTAATTCAATATACACGTACATTTTGTTGATTTATCGTCGCGGTTTAAGTTGCGACTTGTTTACTGTCTTTTATTGATTCTAGTGGTCCCTCCTCCTCCTCCTTGCGTCGGTTTCCTCATTACTGAGGGTCGTGGTCATGGCCTTGAAACAGTTTAAATGTTTCTCTGTCCATGACTCTCTTGGGATGTAATTGTGGTGGGTTCCCACGTTCTTCCACATCAGTATTTCGAAGGGATTTAGTCCTTCACGGCAAACTGGTCCCGCTCCGGGTCTCTGGTTGTATCCGGGGGCTGGGTCATTTCCCGCCGCCCAGTGCTCGGCATTGACGTTTTACGGTAGGAATGTCCAGCTCTACTCAGCCCTCCTCTTTTCTCATCCGGGCTTGGGACCGGCAATGGCAGAGTTAGTGGTCCCGCAGTAGTCGAAATTCGACCATGATTAATTGAAATTATAAGTTTGAACATTATTATGGTTCTAGTTACAGATTTCGCCAAAACCACACCATAGACAAATAATATTAAAGATAAAAAATATTAACCTATTCTCAAATTGGCCACAGACTTTAAGCAATAACAAAAGTTTGACAATAAACGAAGGGTATATAATTATATTAACTATACTGAGATCTCAGAACTTATATCTCAAGGTGGGTGGCGCGTTTACGTTGTAGATGTCTATGGGCTCCAGTAACCACTTAACATCAGGTGGACTGTGAGCTCGTCCATCCATCTAAGCAATAAAAAAAATAAAAATGCGTATGTGTCAAATGCATGGTAGTGTGTGTAACGTATTTTTTATTGATTTAATGTTTTATTAATGCATAATATAAAAAAAATTATTAATATTCTGCACTCCTTCTCTATATTCTCTATAAGTGTGGAAAATTTCATGCTCCTCCGTTCGACCAATTTTCATAAAAATGGGTGCAAAGTTTTTGCTTCACGTATTAATATATAGATTTAGTTGTGACATCTTTGGCAATGAAAGGTTTGATGACTTTTTACGGATAGTAGGGCGTTTTGTGAGGTCGCTGATGGAGACTCAACTTATGTCTCAAGGTGGGTGGCGACATTTACGTCGTTGAAGTTTATGGGCTCCGGTAACCACTTAACACCAGGTAGGCCGTCAGCTCGTCCACTCATATAAGCAATAAAAAAACAAGCAAGTAGTTCTCATGTTACAAGGAGGCGATCAGTTTATGATGTCCATGAACTTCTATCCTATCAGCCCACAGACGTCCACTGCTGGACATACGCCGCCCCCAAGCCTCGCCATAAAGATCGGTTCTGCGCTTTCTGCATCCAGCGGATCCCCGCGAACGTCAATAGGTCGTCGGTCCATCTTGTGGGAGGCCTACCCACACTACGTCTTCCGGCACGCGGTCGCCACTCAAGAACTTTCCGGCCCCAATGACCACCCGTTCCGCAAGCAATGTGCTCTGCCCACTGTCACTTCAACGCCGCAATCCTTTGGATAGGGAAACTCCGAGCATAGCCCTCGCCTCAACCCGTATAGTGTAATAAATGGTCCATTTTTTTTTTCATTGCTTAGATGTGTGGACGAGCTCACAGCCCACCTGGTCATAAGTAAGGTGTTAAGTTCTAAGGCCTCGTTACAGTTACAACGGCTGCCCCATCCTTCAAACCGAAACGGATTACTGCTTCACGTCAGAAATAGACGGGGCGGTGATACCTACACGCGCGGACTCACAAGAGGTCCTACCACCAGTAATTACGCAAACTATAATTTTGCGGGTTTCATTTTTATTACACGATGTTATTCCTTCACCGTGAAAGTCAATCGTGAACATTTGTCGAGTACGTATTTCATTAGAAAAATTGGTACCTGCCTGAGATTCGATCACCGGTGCATCGCTCAACACGAATGCACCGGACGTCTTATCCTTTAGGCCATGACGACTTCAATATTTCAATAATGAGTGAAATGAAATCTATAAAAATTACTTTGAAACATAATCTTGTGTCTTGAAGAAATTATAAACCTATCATTTAAAAGATACAGATTTTCGCTATTACATAAATTTGTTAATTTGATTCAAACAATGAGCTATTTAACCGTTATCAATATTGAAAAGGGATTAATATTTAAGCACAAACGTAAATAAAAAAACAATTCATTCATTTGCTAAGCTTAGAATAAAAAATCGTTTATTTCATCTTTTGTTTTATTAGTGCACGTGCACTTTAGTCGTTGGAGGTCATTGACGTTATACGTCAGCTGATCCTAATCTTATTTTCGGTATATTAATTAGTACAGGTTAGATTTTATATAGGCTATTTTATATAGGTTAGATTTTATATATANACGTAAATAAAAAAACAATTCATTCATTTGCTAAGCTTAGAATAAAAAATCGTTTATTTCATCTTTTGTTTTATTAGTGCACGTGCACTTTAGTCGTTGGAGGTCATTGACGTTATACGTCAGCTGATCCTAATCTTATTTTCGGTATATTAATTAGTACAGGTTAGATTTTATATAGGCTATTTTATATAGGTTAGATTTTATATATAATATAAGTTTAAGTTCACTGTTTTTCTTCCTAATAAAATAAAATAAAATAGTAATTTTATTATGTACACACAAAAAAATATTTAAGAATGACTATAATACAATACGCTTAGTACACAAACACTACGTATTTCCTTAAGAACTCGATTCCGACATCAAGGAGAGAAGTACGTGTAGTAATTAATGTAAATAGTTATATATAATTAAATAACGATTTATCAATTACACTCATTCTAGTGCTTAACAAACCAATTCAAAAATGGGTCTACAAAAGCATATATCAATATCAAATATAATTGTATACAACTTTTAAATAAATTGGAATATATTTTTTTTTTATTGCTTAGATGTGTGGACGAGCTCACAGCCCACCTGGTGTTAAGTGGTTACTGGAGCCCATAGACATCTACAGCGTAAATGCGCCACACACCTTGAGATATAAGTTCTAAGATCTCAGTATAGTTACAACGGCTGCCCCACCCTACAAACCGAAACGCATTATTGCTTCACGGCAGAAATAGGCGGGGCGGTGGTACCTACCCGTGCGGACTCACTCACAAGAGGTCCTACCACCAGTATTATAAAACATTTATTACATTTTTGTTTGCTATTAATTTATGCTTTATTAGTTTGGACGGATATGGAAATTTTGCTCACAGCACTTTTTTTTTTTTCTACATAAGCTGAGAGCCTTGAGAGGCTATATCAGCGTAACCTTAACTAGTAGGTGAGCTCACGGGGCTCAAACCTGACGACGTTGCTAACACGAACCCTAGCAAGAGCCGTGCTTCGCAGAATCTACCACCGGATCGGAAACGCGACCCGCTGAGAAGATCCGGCGAGAAACTTAGTGGGCTGTGTCTGAGGGTTTTGTTATTTAGCGGTAGCCAAAACAATTCGACCTCCTAACGAGAATGTCACCAACGCGTGATTTCGAGGTTGGAATTTAAAAGGATTTTCTTGTTTAGTAGCTCTTAAATCTATGTAAAGTGTATCTAAATGTTGACGGGTCAATGATAATTCCGTCACTATGTACTTGACAAAGCTAATACGTGTGTTCACGCAAATTCACATGTAATTATCTAATATATAAAATTCTCGTGTCACAATGTTCGTTCCCATACTCCTCCGAAACTACTTGACCGATTCTCATAAATTTTTTTATGCATATTCAGTAAGCCTGAGAATCGGCTACTATCTATTTTTCATACCCCTAAGTGATTAGGGTTGTCCATCCCTAACATATTTTTTTTTTTATTTCGACATTTTTTTTTGTTATAATGAGGTATTATGTGGTTGAATGAGATTTTGTTATTTTTATTATATATTCCCTCATCGTTCACAGCACTACATACCTCTTTCACTCATTTACCACATCCTTACACACTTACAATAAGTTAGTTTTTTTTTCTACACTAGAAATTCCCTAGAAATCTTATATATGGCAAAACAATGTTTGCCGGGTCAGCTAGTTACTCTGTTAAAACGAAATTGTTTATCTGTATTAGATCAGTACGAAGTCGTAATAATCTATGTTAATGTTCAGTTTTACCATTCACTACTCTGTACGCTCTCTGCCCAAGCGCCTATCACGCGAACGGACGCGTCTTCAGTACACTTCAATCAGACTTGAATACAATTAAATGTTCTAAATCAGACTAAATACAATTGTTCATAAGAAGTCAGTGCTTTTATTGCTCAGACTATCAGTACGCTGCATGCGATCCAGCCGAGCCCGTCTGGTGGCCCATGAAATTCAGTAACCACGCTCATTCGACCGCCATATTCAACAACGTGTTACAAATCACGCGTGATTTTAGTAACTAGTTCATTGACGGACGGCTCGCGCTACTCGTAATAAAGTCAATTTATTCTATAAGTAGCTAACCCGGGCAGACTTCGTAGTGCCTCAAACGATAAATAAAAGAAACTTTTGTATAAAATAAACTTAAAACAAAACAAAAGGTATCCGTCCGACGGGGGACACTTGTTATTTTTATTTAATTCCGAGCATTTTCATATTTACTATCTTATATATTTTTATCATTTTAAACCTTCTCTGGACTTCCACAAATAATTCAATACCAAAATTAGCCAAATCGGTCCAGCCGTTCTCGAGTTTTAGACTCGGAGACTAACGAACAGCAATTCATTTTTATGTACATATTATATAGATTGTAATACATTGCGTGTAAAAAGTAATAAACTACTCAAAACAAAATAGGGCCCACTTTAAGTTAATCTCGAATTTCGTCTAAAAAAATTTGTTGGGTAGTAAATAGTCAAGTTAAACATTTCGAAGTATTGTTGACATGTTTATCTATTGTTAATGTTCACACACTTTCGAAAACCTTAATTTATTCATTCCTAATCATAAAAACTAAAAAAAGAAAAAGAATCTGTAAAATTAATTTATAAAACATGGTGGGCCCTATTTTGTTTTGAGTAGTTTATAATAATAATATTGTATTATTAAACAAAATCATTTTGCCATCGTACTAGGAACCAGTGATACTATCACGCATTTTTTTACAAAAAAAGCCTTAGGTTTTCTTCAACTTAGTCTTTAGACCTAAACTACTTAGAAGCTTCCACGTATACAATATTATGGAAATTAAAATCATGAGCATTACGACAAAAGCGATAAGCAATACTGAAACAAGTTCCAATTCCAAGTATTGTGTCCAGGATAGATTGGCGCCGGCAGCTCGGAGATGCTGGGCTCCTCCGTGACGCAGCACGTGCTCCGTCCACCACACGGCGCGCTCCAACGAGCTCTGAGGCTGATCGTACAACTGGCTTCGGAGACGAGCTATGTTCTGACGGTAGCTGAAACATATTATACATTTTGTAATAGTACTTGTTGACATAAGGAGTTATTGTATTTTTTTTATGACATTTTACAACTCACGAACCTATAAAAAAACCTCACTTCCTGCCACATAATCTTTTAGCAAAATATTTCATCACATACCTACAGTACACATTTATGACAAATACATATTTATGAGGACAAGTGGTCGCCCGGTAGTCGAAATTCGAATATAATCATTAATTTACATTATAAGTTTGATATCTTTGGACTCCTGTAGTCAGACAACAACAGAACTACTTTATAAATATGGATTATCTACTTTAAAATATTACCTTTGATCATTAATGATCTCTTCAATGAAACTCCTCAGTTTATCTTCAGATAGCTCGTCCAAGTCAAGTCTTAGTCCAATTCTGTGTCTCACGTACTGTTCTACGTTGTACCACTGGTCACCCAACATCGGCACCCCAATTAGGGGAACTCCCGCAGTGATCGCTTCTTCTGTTGACTGGAGACCACCTTGGGTTATGAAGAGTTTTATTTTTGGATGCCCTGAAAATTGTGACAGCAATTTTATAATGAGATATACCTATTATGGTATATGGTATATGGTAACATTGATCGCCAATAAATTTTTGGCGTATTCTTTGCAAAATTTTCGGTCTCACTTTCATGGTTCCGATAAATGATGATTAGTGGCTAGCTTTTAAACATAGCCATTACGAATTTTAAATTAAGAGCGGTTAAGGAAGTTTATATAACTTCCACAACTTGTTCACCTCCGGCCTTTGTCCTTAAAAATCCTGCAATAAAAATAGCCATACAAGATTTATTAGGTTGCGTAATTAATGGTGGTAGAACATATCGCAAGTATTTCTGAAGCGAAGCAATCATACATTCCGATTTCAAGGGGGAGACATAGACGTAATTCCAGTTGAGATATCAATCTCATTTCTAAAGATGAGTGACGGCATTCAACAACTGAAAACTCGGTAACTTGTGTGCCCTTGGAATGTGTTAAAAATTGTTCCTGCCGGTAATGTTTTCTCTAACTATACTTACTAAGTAAATCAGATTGTGGTAGCCACTTGGAGATCCTGATGTTTTTAGATCTTCCGGGAAGTTCATCTTTGTCCCACTTCCACAGCACATCGTAGGGTAGTTCAGAAAAAACTTTTACCAAAATTCGGATCCGTTCTGGTGGCAACAGCGAAGGTAAAACATTGGTGCCGAAACTTATGTATATAACTCCGTGTTGAGATGAATCTAAGAAGGCTTTGAGATCCTGTAAAATACCAAACTATGTCAGTGATATACCTATATTTTCAACATTATCTAGATTTTCACTGTTGCAAGTGAATAATATAAACCGTTTTCAATGACATCAGACTAGCATTGCTCTCTACAAACTTTTTTGTTTCATTTTATAAGTATACCAATAAGCAAATAAGGATATAGCTGGATAAGGATATGGATAGGATAAAAGGATATGGACGCATAAGGATATGGATAAGAAGAAATTAAAGATATTAACAGCAGTCCTTGGGCCATTTAAATATTTTATTAACGGCAGTCCTTAGTTGCAGTCTTTTGGAAGAAGTTAACACACTAAAACTGTTTTTCTAGTGACTTTTTGTCAGGTAAACATGAACCAGGCTTATTATTTCGCGAAAACTTACCGAAGGCAGTTCTTTTTGTGGCATCTGATGAATTCCTCCAACGTAAATAAGATTGGGTGGAACCGGACGATTGTGTTCCCAAATGCGATGCGTTGTCAACAGCACCAACTCAACATTATTCCTCATTTCACTTAATTTTGGCATCGTCGGCCCAAAAATACTCTTAATCAGCACATCATCCTCGATCTCCAGCTTATCAAACAAACTTACAAATGAATAGTAGTTGTATAACTGGTGTAGCTTTTCCCATAACGTTAGATTATCTAATCTTTGGGCTAACAAATCGGGATATAACAGTGGATGGCTTGGTGCTCCGACAATGTCGTAAAGATCCCAGGCTCCGCCCATAGAACTCATAAGTATCATGGGTGCGCCCAGAATGTGACTGAGTATCCTAGGTATTTTAACAGGGGCTTCGATAATTAGCAAATCAAATTTTTTTGCGCCCTTCAAAACCGCCTCAAATTCGTCGGTCTGTAATTGTTTCGCGACAACTTTACTTATAACAGTCATTGCAACTCTAGCTTGTTCGAAAATATCTTGAGATTTTCCTCTTGACGTCTGTAGGAAACCTTTCTTCCAGGCATCGTAAGATACATCGTGGACGTCTATTTCTGTATAGTTTTCAGGGGATTGGCCTTCAGTAAAGATAGGATCAGTCGTGAGAACGGTTAACTCGTGGCCCCGTTTTGCTAGCTCTAATGGTAATGGTCGGAAGGCCAATTGATGGCTGATTGAAGGTATTGGAAAAACACACAGGATCCGGGCCGCTTCATTGGCACTAATCACTGATAAGCACACCAGTAAAATTAGCTTCATTTCGTTTGAAAATTCAGCCAAAGCAACGCAAATATCAAACTATGCGCCACAACTAATTCACTCGACAGTCAAGACTCTTATATAATTGGGCGACTGTTTTATTAGATTTTTATTTCAATTTTATTATCATACGTAGACAAAAACCTTGTTCGAGATAGCGTCAAGATAATAAATATTATGGTTACATAATTTGTTTTTCTTTTTGAATTTGTCCATTGATTTCTTGTCCAATGTTAGACAAATAAACGCTTTGGATAAAGATAATACCCTAAATTACACAACCTACCTTGAGATTAATGTTTCTAAATTTGTCCATTAACATTTATTTTCCAATATTAGACAAATAAAGTCTGTGGATAGAGATAATAACCTAAATGCCACAATCTACCTTGAGATAATAATATTATGTGCTCAACTATATTGACTGGTTCGCGGCAAAGTTTGGCAGGATAGTAATATGCATGGGGCTTCATACGGACTACTGTGACTAATTATAAAATTTATGGTTTCAATGTGAAGTTCGCGTAGCTAAGATACTCTAAACGAACAAGTTCTAGTGAATTTACAGCTTTATAGGTACGACAATTGAGTTTCATCTCCAGTGCATTCATAGCTGTCAATAACATACGTAATTTACCCAGTTTTGATTGAGTCAATTATTGTGCATTAACGCATACTGGACACCTATTCATTTAATTATGCTAACCGTGTCTTATGTTCTACCATCATATAATTGTGCTGAAATACCTATAATTAATCTTTGTACTATTATTACCGCCGACAGTCAGATAACTTGGACAAAGTGATTGTGACGGGCAAAGTAGAAGGAAAGAGACCCCGCGGCCGATTACCTAGCCGTTGGTGTGACCAAGTAACCGCTCTAACTGGGTTGCCAGGCGCAACCGCCATTCGAGAAGCTGAGGACCGGACGAGATGGAAACAGCTCACGAGACAGGCAACGGTCAAGTTTCAGGGACACGACCTCCAATAATGAAGAAAGCGACGAAGAAGAAGAAGAAATATTATTACCATAAAAAACCGCAAGATTAAAACGTAAAACTCTCGAAAATCGAAGAAAATACTATAGTTTTCATAATATTCTAATGGAATTCAATGTCTTTACTACTTTACTCGGTATTTTATTAAATCGGTAAATAGAACTCGTCGTAAATAAAGTTAAAACTAAAAAAAAAAAACTTTAAATTCTCGAACGTCACTTGAAATGATATTAACAGTGATGATATAATCGTTTGATCGATAATCCGCTTCACGCTTAAGGGTGGATATTCACGAATTCACGATTCAAATGAATATGGCAAAATCGCAACGTCTCTAACGTCACGAAAATGAGACTCGACCGAACCTTAGTTTTCTCAATCTTTCTTTAGAGTCCTGGACAATTAGGGGATCCGAGCGCAATAAAATAAACGCATTTGAAATGTGGTGCTGGAGACGAATGCTCCGAATTCCGTGGACGGCCAAAAGTACAAATAAATCTATCCTGGATCAGCTTCGCATCCGAGTCAGGCTCTCAACAATCTGTTACCAGAGGATCCTCGGCTACTTCGGTCATATTGCCCGGCTACAGTCAGTTAACTTGGACAAAGTGATTGTGACGGGCAAAGTAGAAGGAAAGAGACCCCGCGGCCGATTACCTAGCCGTTGGTGTGATCAAGTAACCGCTCTAACTGGGCTGCCAGTCGCAACTGCCATTCGAGAAGCTGAGGGCCGGACGAGATGGAAACAGCTCACGAGACAGGTCACGGTCAAGTTTCAGGGACACGACCTTCAGCAATGAAGAAAGCGACGAAGAAGAAGACTTCATCTTTGACTATAAGGGTGGAAGAACCATGCACTTTCGTTTGATGAAGGAAAAGATCGATTTTCGTAGGTACACTAGATGGGTAAACGAGCTGGCGGGCTACGTAGTGTCAAGCGGTAACTTTGGCGGATGTACATCACCATCAGACTGCCATTTACCTTTAGGCAAGAAGCTGAAGTCTCACATATATATTATTGCTTATATGGGTGGACGAGCTCACAGCCCATCCGGTGTTAAGTACTTACTGGAGCCCATAGACATCTACAACGTAAATGCGCCACCCACCACCAAGTTCTAAGGTCTCAGTATAGTTACAACGGCTTGCCCTACCCTTCAAACTGAAATGCATTACTGCTTCACGGCAGAAGTAGGCAGGGTGTCCTACTGTTCAGGTTCTACTGTTATTTTGTTAGAGGATTGAAATAAATAAACCGTGTCTCGGGATTAGTGGCGACATTCCGATGGTCTTAATAACTTTTTTTTTATTGCCTTTGTAGGCAGACGAGCATACGGCCCACCTGATGGTGAGTGGTTACAGTCGCCCATGGACTTCAGCAATGCCAGGGGCAGAGGCAAGCCGCTGCCTACCGCTTAATACTCTCCACAAGCCTCGTTTGAAAAAAGGACATGTCATAGCGCTCGCGAAACACCGTGGGGGGAGCTCATTCCATAGCCGGATGGTACGTGGCAAAAAGACCTCTGGAAACGTACTGTGGCTCCAGGTAGTATGGATGAACTCCGGTGGCGGGCGGTGCGAAACTTTAACTATACTTACTTATAATGACGTTAACTTCATTCAGATCTACGCAATTAAAATGATAAGAGATAGCTAAGTGCACGCATACATATTTAGTTTCGTTATGAATGAGAATCTTTAACGTAAAGACGCAGATTAATACAAACTAAGACGAGACTAAACGCCACCGTGTATGAATAATTCAAACGCTTCAACAGATAATCTATGTACTTGGTATTAATTTCACGTAACAAGACTCATCTGACAATGAATGTACTTATGTGGTATTAATATTGAATGCGTATGTAGTACTCCTGATGAGATAGGAATTACCGTACGCACATAAAGGATTAGTTGGTAGTTTTTCGTGGTGATCCTTTGATCTGCTTTTACGACGGCATCTTCTCCTACTGGTATAGAGTTCATCTGTACTCTTTGGAACCGCTACGTACATTCACAGCGCGATTCTAAAAACCTTTCCTACCGCGTTCCATTCAACTCTGGAATTAAACTTATATGATATACCCACAAAGGCAATAAAAAAGTACATTTTTTAAAGCCCTATAGGCAGACGAGCATACGGCCCACCTGATGGTGAGTGGTTACCGTCGCTCATCGACGTCAGCAATGCCAGGGGCAGAGCCAAGCCGCTGCCTACCGCTTAATACTCTCCACAAGCCCCGTTTGAAGAAGGACGCCATAGCCGGATGGTACGTGGCAAAAAAGATCTCTGGAAACGCACCGCAGTGGCTCCAGGTAGTATGGATGAACTCTACTCCGGTGGCGGGCGGTGCGATGGTAAAAGCGAGATGTCGGTATCATCTCAAACAATTCCTCAGAGCACTCACACACCTTACCAGCATTTTAGAATGGGTAAAACAATACCTCTATTTTAAGTTAATTATTCATTAATTTCTTAGATGTGTGGATGAGTCCACGGCTCACCCGATTTTACGTGGTTACGGGAGCCTATAGGCAAAGTTAATACCAACACCCACCTTGAAACACGAGTGATAAGGTCTCAGTTTTTACAGCGCAACGGCTAAGTCCCACCCTTCAAACCGAAACACATTATTGCCTCACAGCAGAAATAGGCAGAGCGGTAGTGCCTACCCGTGCGGATTCACAACATACCCTACCACCAGTAATTACGAAAATTATAATATTGCACAAATAATTTTTATTACACGATCTTATCCTTCAGCGAGAAACTCAATCGTGAACATATGCCGGGTACCTTCCTGTTACCCTTACAATAAGTTCCCGAGTTCAACTATCTTAACTTTAGCAATAATTAAAGATTCTTTGACCACAATAATGTAGCGACTTTCGCAGAAGCTGTATACCAAAATCGATATGGCCTCCACCAAAAACAACACTTTGGTAGGCAGCGGCTTGTCTCTGCCCCTGGCTTTGCTGAAGTCCATGGGCGACAGTAACCACTCACCATCAGGTGGGCCTTATGCTCGTCTGCTTACAAAGGCAATAAATAAAAAATGAAAAACTTAATTATCGGTCGTAAATTGTAAACTCGATCCAGATTAAAATTTAAGGGTCCCATACAAGTTTTCGATCTGATAGCTTATCTATAAACAGTGTTGTATCATACGTGGCCATACAAAATGGTCGCGACCCAAAAGTTTGATAATTCCGACCGCAACGTTGATATTTCGGGAATAAATAGTACTAGTTCCGTTTACGGTCTAATTATTTCGGGATTATTCTGGACGGTCACATGTATTGAAAAGCTTAGAAACCGTTCGATATCACGATGTCATCTTTTTTATTTGCTAATAGCTGTTTCGCGGTAGAAACAAGCTGAACGGTGGTATCTATCCTTGCGGGCTCACAAAACGTCCTACCACCTAATTTTTTACTAACGCAATATCGGTCACCGATTTCATTGTTACCATCTGAAACTGCTCTATTCATCTATAGTGTGTTTGCACAGATTTTTTTCCACGGATCTGTAATGAACTCATTCCAACAGCTTCCTTGACAGCTTTTTTTTTTAATTGCTCAGATGGGTGGACGAGCTTACAGCCCACCCGGTGTTAAGTGGTTACTGGAGCCCATAGACATCTACGACGTAAATGCGCCACCCACCTTGAGATATTTATCAGTTCCAATGTCTCAGTATAGTTACAACGGTTGACCTGCCCTTCAAACCGAAACTCATTACTGCTTCACGGCAGAAATAGGCAGGGTGGTAGTACCTACCCGCGCGGACTCACAAGAGGTCCTACCATATATATATTCTTCTTCTAACGAGCCTTGAAAAGTGGCCCGAGCATTAGGCTGGGGCCCGCCCCGGCCTATGTTCAAGAGTAATGGTGTAAAAGAATCACCACTCTCGGCTTGCCGACAGAGATAGGCATTATGGTGCCTATCTCTGTCGGACCTATCAGTCCAGGCGCACAATGCTCCACAAATATGTGGGTACGGTTGGCCCAAGAATGATAAACAAGGTTCACTGCTATCAAATAATCAAGATATAGTAGGTTTGA